TCTGAGGAGAACCTTAGTTACTAGACAATCAAGAGGTCACATGTAAGAACAGCCAGGAGGTCAGGGGACTGGGCACTGTGGTGGCTACACATGAGTGTTAACTTGACTGTTTCAGGCATCAAATAAAACCCAGGCTGCTGGTATCCAGTGAGGAATTTTTTTTATTAGTTTATTAGAAGCAAGAAGACCTCCACCAAAGAACTTTTACAGCTGATAAACACCTTTAGCAATGTGGCAGGATACAAGATCAACTCCAAAAAATCAGTCGCCCTCTTATACACAAAGGATATGGAAGCAGAGAGGGAAATCAGAGAAGCTTCATCTTTCACGTTAGCCACAAACAGCATAAAATATCTTGGGGTAACTCTAACCAAGGAAGTGAAAGATCTATTTGACAAGAACTTTAAGGCATTGAAGAAAGAAACTGAGGAGTATACCAGAAAATGGAAGGACCTCCCTTGCTCTTGGATTGGGAGGATCCACAGAGAAAATATGGCAATTCTACCAAAGGCAATTTATAGATTCAATGCAATCCCCATCAAGGTCCCATCAAAATTCTTCACAGATCTTGAGAGGACAATAATCAACTTTATATGGAAAAACAAAAAACCCAGGATAGCCAAAACAATCCTATACAATAAAGGATTGTCTGGAGGCATTACCATCCCTGACTTCCAACTCTATTACAGAGCTACAGTGATGAAAACAGTGTGGTACTGGCATAAAAACAGAGAAGTCGACCAATGGAATCGTATAGAAGACCCGAATTTTAACCGACAAACCTATGAAGACCTCATTTTTTATAAAGGAGCCAAAAGTATACAATGGAAGAAAGAAAGCATCTTCAACAAATGGTGCTGGCATAACTGGATGTCAACCTGTAGAAGAATGAAAATAGATCCATATCTATCACCATGCACAAAACTCAAGTCCAAATGGATTAAAGACCTCACTATCAGTCAGAACACATTGAACCTGATTGAAGAGAAAGTGGGAAGTACCCTACAACAGATGGGCACAGGAGATCGCTTCCTATGTGTAACCCCAACAGCACAGACATTAAGGGCAACATTGAATAAATGGGACCTACTAAAACTGAGAAGCTTCTGTAAAGCAAAGGACACTGTCACCAAGACAAAAAGGCAACCTACTGACTGTGAGAAGATCTTCACCAACCCGGCAACAGACAAACGTCTGATCTCCATAATATATAGAGAACTCAGGAAATTAGACTTTAAAATGCTAATTAACCCAATTAAAAAATGGGGCACTGAACTGAACAGAGAATTCTTAGCAGAGGAAGTTCAAATGGCCAAAAGACACTTAAGGTCATGCTCAACCTCCTTCGCGATCAGGGAAATGCAAATCAGAACAACTTTGAGATATCATCTTACACCTGTCAGAATGGCTAAAATAAAAAACTCCAATGATAGCCTTTGCTGGAGAGGCTGTGGAGGAAGGGGTACCCTCATCCATTGCTGGTGGGAATGCAATCTTGTGCAACCACTTTGGAAATCTGTGTTTCGGTTTCTCAGGAAATTCGGGATCAACCTACCCCTGGACCCAGCAATACCACTCCTGGGAATATACCCAGGAGATGCCCAATCATATGACAAGAGCATTTGTTCAACTATGTTCATAGCAGTATTATTTGTAATAGCCAGAACCTGGAAACAACCTAGATGCCCTTCAATGGAAGAATGGATGAAGAAAGTGTGGAATATCTACACATTAGAGTACTACGCTGCGGTAAAAAAACAATGACTTCTCGAATTTTGCATGCAAATGGATGGAAATAGAAAACACTATCCTGAGTGAGGTAACCCAGACCCAAAAAGATGAACATGGGATGTACTCACTCATAATTGGTTTCTAGCCATAAATAAGGGTCACGGAGTCTACAATTGCTGATCCTAAAGAATCTGAGTAAGAAGGTGAACCCAAGGAAAAATATATAGTTGTCCTCTTGGCTATGGGAAGTAGACCAAATTGCCGGGGAGAAAATTGGGATCTTGGGGGTGGGGTGGGATGGGGGTAAGGGGAGATGGGGAGAGAAAAGGGAGAAGGGGAGGATGGGGGGAACTTGGGGAAACAGGAGGATTGGGATAAAGGAAGGTTGGATAGGGGAGCACGAAGCACAATTTTAAGTTAAGGGAGCCACCTTAGGGTTGGCAAGAGACTTGAACCTAGAGTGGCTCCCAGGTGCCCAAGCCGAGGTCCCCAGTTAGTTCCTTGGGCAGCTGAGGATAGGGAACCTGAAATGACCCTATCCTTGAGCAATGCTGACGAATATCTTGCATATCATCATAGAACCTTCATCTGGTGATGGATGGAGATAGAGACAGAGACCCACACTGGAGCACTGGACTGAGCTCCCAAGGTCCCAATGAGGAGCAGAAGGAGGGAGAACATGAGCAAAGAAGTCGGGACCACGAGGGGTGCACCCACCCACTGAGACAGTGGAGCTGATCTATTGGGAGCTCACCAAGGCCAGCTGGACTGTGACTGAAAAAGCATGGGATAAAACTGGACTCTCTGAACATGGCGAACAATGAGGGCTGATGAGACGCCAAGGACAATGGCACGGGGTTTTGATCCTACGTAATGTGCTGGCTTTGTGGGAGCCTAGCCAGTTTGGATGTTCACCTTCCTAGATATGGACGGAGGGGGGAGGACCTAGGACTTACCACAGGGCAGGGAACCCTGACTGCTCTTTGGACTGGAGAGGGAGGGGGAGAGGAGTGGGGGAGGGGGAGAAGGGTGGGAGGAGTGGGAGAAGGGTGGGAGGAGGGGAGGGAAATGGGAGCCTGGGAGGAGGTGGAAACTTGTTTGTTTTTTTTTTTCTCCTTTTCTCAATAAAAAAAAAGTAAAAAAAAAAAAGAAGAAGAAACAGAAAGACCCACCCTAAATTTCGACCCCTTCTTCTGCTGGCAGAACACATGAAAGAAGGTATTGTGCTTTTGCTGAGAAAGATCATGAGACAAGCCTAAAGCCTACAGCAATGCATCTGATCTAAAGCCCTTGGATGATGTGACCCTGTCTGCAAAGCACAGGAACCTAGATAATAATGTGTGAAGTAAAAGATGCCAGACACAAAAGATCACAGCTATGTGATTCTGTCTACATGAACCACACACATTAGGCAAGTCCACAGACATAGAATTAAGACCATATATAGAATGCATTTTTTCCAGCCTTGCAGGCTAGCCTTCAGACAGCACAGGATTTGAAGGGAAATCTACAGAATCCATGAAGCTAAGACTTTTCTGTCTGAGGGTTAGGGAAAAAACACTCACACTGTTCTGATAGTTTGATTTTTCATTCTCTTCTCATGTTGTTCTCTCTAATTCTCTCTCTAATTCTCTCTCTAATTCTCTCTCTCTCTCTCTCTCTCTCTCTCTCTCTCTCTTTCTCCCAACTGCTTACACACCCCAACAAAATCTTTCAGGTAATGCAGAAGTCACCAAGGGTTACATTTCATTTCTCTCTGGCAGGGGAAGAGCTATTCAAACTAACCAACAACTATGTAAACATATTGGAACTAATAACCTGTTATCAGAAGTCATAAATTCCAGATTCTCTTTGGATCTCCAAGGTGACTGGAGTGTCATAAATCTGCAAGTTCAGGATCAAGAGAATATTGCAGAGAAAGCATAAATTTCTTGGCTTCACCCCAGTCTGCACTCACAGGAAACTGTGGCACCATTATGCGTTTGATCTTGGACCAAAAAAAAAAAAAAACCTGCAGTTCCCTTTAGGGTTCTACAAATTCACAGTACTCTCAGTAGTCCTGACTAGTCAGAATTTCCTTCCTCAATGGAGCCCCTGAACAAAAGTTGCTCTGTTCCTAAACTTTGGTGTTCTACTCACTGTTATATGCAATACCAGGACCCAACACTTACATATGTAAAAAACAATCAGTCACCTGAACTCAAGTCTTCATGGTGCACATCCATATCAGCAATTTGATGTCAGGAGCGGGTGCAATGATGTATTCACCTGACAGTCGGCAATGATTGGGCTGTTTTTGACTCTATCCTAAATGAATGGGCAGCTCAGCCATGTGTCTTGTGAATTTTAGATTGCATTTCTAGGGTAATTAATCTTAAAAAGACCATTAGCAAGGTATCTTGTCTAATCTAAAGTTATTTTGAAGCTTTGTTTCAACTACTAATGCACACTAAAGCCTGTGATAGATTTCTCAGCATTAAGATTCAAGGAATTTGGGACAGCTGGCTCATTGCTTTTCTTTACTTGAGCTGTGATCTGCAGGAGTACCTTAGGGGGAGCTCATAGGCACAGACTGTGTATTACTTCCTTGTGCTCATTTTTATTTACCAAAATTCTGTATAAGCTTACATTATATCGATTAGACAGCAGAGTTAGGGAGGAATCATCTTCTTGATAATCCACAGGTAAAATTGCCCAGTAGATCAGGTTGTTTTCATGAGAGAAACACACTATGTTACAGGCAGGGGGTTCTCCCCAGATCTACTCACACCAGGGAAAACCAGATACCAGGGAAAGATTTTAGCAGCAAACATGTAAAAGCAATGTGGAATCAAAAGATATTGCAGAGTCTGTGTTCTCATAGTCTTGCATAAAACAAGAATAGCCCATCATAGAGATTTCCTCCTTGTGATCTGACACTTTGAACTTCAATTTCCACTTGCTCTTCCTTTGACATGACCTCCGGCATTCATTAGATTGTTTCATTGAGCACCAGAAGTCTCTACATGAAAACTGTGGTTGCTGGGTGCAGTAAGGAACAGACTCAGCGTGAGATGTGGCCTCCAGAAGTCTCTCGGTTCACACATCAAGAAAGACAGTGATTGATTTCTCCAGTGTCATTCTCAGGGCAGAAGAACACACCTCAGAGCTTTGCAGAAGCTGCAGTAACGTTGAAAGATATGAGCAGTGACCTACAGTCTGGATGGCAGCAGGAAGAAAGATGGGGCCATTCTCAACAGGAGTGGGGACACCTGGCCATCTCAGCCCAGTCAGCGGACCAAGAAGCAGATCTGGTATGTTGGAGCCACCTTGGTAATGCCATTCTCCTTGGGCCTGAGATCAATGTCCTTAGGAGCCACAGGACTGGACACAGAGAAGTTCTGGAGGATGGTGGTGAAGAAAAGGAACAATTCGTTGCGGGCGATGCCTTCGCCAAGACAATTGCGCTTTCCTGTAAGCACAGAGAATGAGCCATGTGAGCCCCAGGACAGTATACAACCTTCAGACTGTCCCTTCCCTAAACCCAGACAACTCTCCTATTGCAATGGAGAAGAATGAGTTTGACCCTCAACCTACAATTCAACTGAGACCAGTAAGAGTTTCACAAAGCCTTAAGCAATTGGTGTAAGGGCTAGTGAGACTTCTTAGCATGGAAGGTATCTGTCATCACTGCTGAGGACATGTGTTCACCCCCTGGACACACATGTTGCAAGGAGAGAACAAACCCCTATAGTCTGTCCTCTGTCATAAACATATATACACCCTCCATAGAGCACATGTATATGCATGTAAACATATATGCAATAATTCAATCATAAAATGCAAGACAAATAGTTGGTGAATGACACATGGTAATTCCTTACAGATTTCTAGGGTTTGCTCATTATCAGAGTCCTTCGTTTCAGAATTGTAAGAACACAATAGAGTAGGAACAAATGTGTATGTGTAAACATATATAATGTAAAATCTTTAATGTTCCCTTCTTACTCATGTGGGGAGATTGGTCTTCCTCTCCTTGGCTGCCATGAGGGTGAAGGTGTTGTTTACAAAGATTCTTAGATCAAAAACTGGATGATATCAAGGGTCCTATATGAGCCAAGCATGGAGACACATGCCTGCAAGTGCAGCACTTGGGAGATCACGGCAGGAAGATGATAGAATACATTGCAAGAGCTCTCTGTCTGTCCCCTGTCTCTGTCCCCTCTGTCTCTCATTCTCCCCACCCCACCCCACCCACTCCCATTTCTTCTTCAGCTTGAGATCAATGAACTTCAACAATGAGGAAGGAAATTCTGACTAGTCAGGACTACTGAGAGTAATTTGATTGTAGGCTCCGTAAAAGGAACTGCAGGTTTCTTTTCATGGTCCTAGGTCACACAGAGCAGAAAGTACATATCGAGTTCAAATACAATTGTTCGTACAATAGATAATGGGCAGAAGCACATAATGCGGGATCCATGGCACCCACCGCATTCACAGGGGTATAATTAATCCTTGTTGGTTTTTCTCCTTGGGCATGAGGCAGCACAGAGCAAGGGAGCCTGAACTTCCAGACAGAGGCTCCACCACCTGCCTGTACCTCAGTGATTCTTACTCTGCAACTGGCTGCCTCAGTCTCCAGGTGGAGGAGGGATTCCCAGCAGCCCCTGTGCCCTCCAACTGTTGGGAAATCAGGCCTGTGTAGGAGTATGTAAAAAAAGCACCTTCCCAGCTTAGGCCACACCTTTCCAGAATTTAGGTGGTATGAGCTTAGAAATTCGTGGAGAGGTCTCTGAGATGGTTTCCCTAGTACTGGTTTTGTGAACTAGTTTTTCCAGAGCAGCTTTTAATGGCTTATCTCACTATTAACACAAAGTTTCCATACTTGACGCTGGTCTTGGGACACCATTTATGTCTCTTTGGCTCTAACCCGTTTTGTCTCTCTCTTTACTTTTTTCTTTCTGCCAATGGCAACCTACCTGAACCTGTGTCTGTACATATCATTATTATTTGTCTTTGGATGTCTTCCATGCATTTGTGTCTTTCAAACTCCCTAGATGCTATCTCAGTCCCTCCTTTTTTTTTTTTTGTCCAAGGACACCTTGTCATGTCTTCCTTCTGTGTCTTCCCTCCTGCTTCTTGGTCTCTTTCTAGTTGTGCCTTTCTCCCCTTCCTTTTTTCTCCCATTCCTCTCTTCCTGACTATATCATCAAATATGTTCTTCATGCATCTTCTTCTCTCTCATGTCCATGCTCTGAGTCCTACCACACACATCCTCCTATTGAAGATTCCTTGTGTCTCTGTGCATCTCTCTTTATTGGAATCTGACTTAATCTCCAGACCTCTCTATCATTGATTTGGCTCAGTCTATTTTTCACATTTCTGGCTCTCTACTCTTGGAACAGTCATATGAACAATTCAGGAGCAGGGCTGAGCCTAGGGACACTGAAGTCTCTTGGCACCTAGGGCTAGACATGTCCTAGAGGAGACATAGCTCAGCAGGAGAACACTTGCCTTAAATCCCTCTGTGAGGGGATGAGTACAGACATGCTCAGCAGGAGAGCATCCCTAGAATGCACTAGGGGGAATCTGGAGGTATGTGCTCTTTGGAAGAGAACTTGCTTACCTTGGTAACAGACAGCCCTGGGCTCCATCCCTAGCATGAGGGTGGTGGGAGGCAACTAAAAGCTAACCAATTGTTTCTAGAGCCTATCTTTTTCCAAAAGATAAGAAACCTGAACACTAAGTTTACATCCCATAGAATCCATTCAACTGAATTAAATTTGGCCAGAGGACACTTCTGTATGTAACAAACTAACCAAATACTGGCAACTGAACAACACACTAATTTGAGATTATATTCTTCCAGTGAAGAACCAATCTCAGTCACTCACATCAGTTGAGCTGCTCCAGGCTACCAACAACCTCAGCAAGGCTAAGTAAGGCAAAGGAAGATCTGGAACCCATCAAGCTCTGTGACCATGCACAGCTCCCTCTGGTCTACAGACACTGATGGGTGCTATAAATCTGACCTTTCTCTAGTTCAGGAGTTTGTCTATCATGAATGGATTCTTGGAAAAAATAAATGCTAGTAATTTTGATCTCTCTTAGAGTTTAACAAGCCATAGAAAATGTAATACAGACAGGTGTGTCAGGACATGCCTCATCTCCCCAGTGCTCACAGATAAATCCCTCCCTAGCCGAATGCCTTACAAGCTCATGGCAGTTCATAAATGATGTCAATTATTCTTGTTGTTGTTCCCTAAGAAAAACAATTCGCACTCTCTCTGCTAACCCACATGCCACTCCTGCCCTGGATCCAGGTAGGCTGACTGCAGATCTTCACCTCTCCCTCTGTTCCCCAAGACCCACACCCCAGTCCTCACCTCACCTCTGCAACAGAACCCTTGCTGCAGCCTTCCCTACCCACACTCCCCATCTCTTTGGATTTCCCTAATCTTCTTCATAAGACACCCATTACTAACCCAAAGTCCACTCTGACCAGGGAAGCAGGTAGTCTGACAGAGAATCCATGCCTCTCCTTCTGATTCTCCAGATCCACCCCCACTGCCCCCATCTCACCTCCAGCTCTGCAGCAGAATTCCTGCTGTGATCTCCCTTGCCTCCCTGGCCCCATACCCAGTGAATCACAAATATCTTCTCCTCCAATCCTCCTTCCAGCAACTCATCCCATTATCCCAGCCTCCAACACCAGCAGGCATTCCCTGGGACACACCAGCTGGGCAGGACAGGGAAACAGATCCATAGAAAGCTCCCTATGGCAACACACAGCCATCATGCTCACATAAACCCCAGAAACCAAGAAACCAAACACCCACCCAACAAAGACAAACCCGGAAATTGACACCTAGACTTATAATCACCCCAAAACCAGATTCCTGGATGCCAACATAAAAACGCAATCAGTAACAGCCAGGACAATGTGAACCCATGCTAGCCCATCAGCCCTGCCACAGTTGACCCTGGGCATCCTACATAGCTGCAGTCCAAGGAAAGACCTTAACACTGCCTTCTGATGGTGGTAGAGGGCCTTGAAGAGGAAATTTTAAATCCCTTAAAGAAATCCAGGAAAACACAAACAGTGTTTAAGACCTGAAAATAGAAATAGAAACAAGGAAGACAACCCAAATGGTGGAATTCTGGAAATGAAAAATTTGTGAGTTAGAAGAGGAACTACACAGCCTGCTTCACCAGGAAGATGGAAGAAAGATTCTCAGGCTTTGAAGATATGATAGAAGAAATGGATATATCAGTTAGAGAAAATGTTAAGTTTGAAAAACTCATGACAGAAAAAAAATCCTAGAAATCTGAAATACTGTGAAAAGACCATATCTAAAAATAAAGGGACTAGAAGAAGGAAAAGAACCCCAGCTCAAAGGACCAGAAAATACTTTCAGCAAAATCATAAAGAAAATTTTCGTAATCTGAAGGAGATGTCTATAAAGGTACAAGAATCATATAGAACACCAAATAGATTGGGCCAGAAAGGAAAGACCCATTAACACACTAATGTACAGAACAGGCAAAGATTTTTAAAAGTTTCAAAGCAAAAAGACCAAGCAACATATAAAGATAAACCTATTAGAATTACACCTGGCTTCTAAATGGAGACACTAAAAGCCAGATGGGCCCAGATAGAAGTGCTGCAGATTAAAAAAAAAAAAAAGAAACCAGATATCAGTCCAGGGGCCAATAAACAGCAAACCTTTTGATCACCATAGATAGAAAAAATTTAAACAATATTTATCTAAAAATTTATCCCTAAAGAAAGTACTCAAAGAAAGCTCCAATCTAAAAATATTACCTGCATACAAGAAAGCACAGGGAATAAAATAATTCAAACCACTAAAATTAAAAGTAGAAAACCACAAACAAACACTGCCACTAATAACAACAGCAACAACAATAACAACAAGGAAATAACAGGAATCAACAATCAAAGGCCATTGATATCTCTCAACATCAACGGTTTCAATTTCCAAAATGAAATAAGAAACACTAACAGAATGGAAGCAAAAAGTGGATCCATCCTTCTGTGCATCCAGGAAAGCACCTAACATAAAGGACATTACCTCAGGGTAAGAGGCTATAAAAAGACATTCCAAGCCAATGGACCTGAGGAGCAGACTGCTGTGGCTATTTTAATATCTAACAGATTAGAGTTAAATCTAATCAGAAGACACAGGGAAGCACATACATATTCATCAGAGGAAAAATCCACCAAGAGCACATTTAAATTCTAACCATCTATGCCCCAAACACAAGAACACCCAAGTTTGCAAAAGAAAACTACTACAGCTTAAATCACATATTGACCCTCACACACTGACAGTGGGAGAATTCAACTCTCCACACTCATCAATAGACAGGTCATCCAGACAAAAACTAAACAGAGAAATGCTGGAGCTAACTGATGTTATAAAAAGACCACACCATTAGGAAGGGTGAGGACCACTGCTCTAAAACAAAAAGAAGCAGAAGGCTAGAAATAAACTCCAGATTGAAATCGATAAAATAGAAGCAAAAAGGCAATACAAAGAAACAAAGAATTAGTTCTTAGAGTAAATCAATATGCTTGACAAACCCTAATCTAAATGAAAAGGTGGACAAAGATTGTCCAATTAATAAAATCAGAAGAAAAGGTGAGACATAAGAGACACCGAGGAAATCAGAGAATTTAAAGGACATACTTCAAAAACTTGTATTCCACAAAACTGGAAAATCTAAATGAAATGGATATTTTCTTGATAGGTACTACTTACCAAAGTGAAATCAAGATCAAATAAGGAATTTAAACAGACCTATAATCCCTAGAGAAATTGAAACAGTCACTAAAGTTCTCCCTATATTCAACCTCACGCCCCCTGAAAAGAAAAAGAAAAAACAAAAACAAAAAGCAAGCCCAGGGACAGAGAGTTTCAACACCAAATTCTCTCAGACTTTCAAAGAGGAGTTTATGTCAATACTCCTCAAATTATTCCACAAAATAGAAACACAAACGATATTGTCCATTTCATTTTATGAGGCCACAGTTACCCTGATACCCCCCCCCAAAAAAAGAAAGAGAATCACAGACCAACTTGCCTTATAAAGGCAAAAATACTCTATAAAATACTTGGAAACCAAATCCAAGAACACAACAAAAAGTTCATCCACCATGATCAAAGGTTTCATTCCAGAGATCCAGGATGGTTCAATATAATGAAACATTAATAAATACAAACAAACTGAAAGGAAGAAAACCCATGTGCTCATCTTATTAGATGGAGAAAAGACTTTGACAATAAGCAGTGCCTCTTCATGATAAATGTACTGGAGAGTACAGAGACACAAGGGACACACCTACACATAACAAAGACAGTTTACAGCATGCCTACAGCCCACATCAACTTAAAGAGAGAGGAACTCAAAGCAATTCCACTAAAATTCAGAACAAGACAATGTTGTCTAAAATCTCCACATCTATTCAGTAGAATACTTGAAGTCTAGGCTAAAGTAATAATACAACTGAAGGAGACCAAGGGGATACAAATTGAAAAGGAAGAAGTCAAAGTAAACTTATTATCAGATGATATATATATGATTGTGTTTGTATCCCAAAAATTTCCACTAGGTAATTCCTATAGCTGATAAACACTTTCAGCAATTTAGTTGGACACAAATTAACTCACAAAGACCAGTTACATACAAATGAAAAACGCACTGAGAAAGAACTCAGGGAAAGAACACCTTTGACAATAGCTTATATAATATAAATATCCTGGGGTAACTCTAACAAAGCAAGTGAAAGGCTTATGCAATAAAAACTTCAAGTCTTTGAGAAAGAATTGGAGAAGACATGAGAAAATGGAAAGATCTCCTATGCTGATAAATCAGTAGGATTAGCAAAGTAAAAACAACATCCTTCAAAAGAAGCCAGAAATACACACTAGGAAAAAAGACAGCGTCTTCAGAAAATGGTGCTAGTCAAATTGGATGACTCCATGTAGGAGAATGCAAATAGGTCCAAACTCTACTACACTGCACACAATTCAACTCAGATGCATCAAAACCTTAACATAAAACTAGATACACTGAGCGTAATAGAGAAAAAGTGGGGAATAGATTTAAAGTTGTTGACACAAGTGATGTATTCCTGAACAGAACAACAACAGCACAGACACTAAGATCAACAATTAAAACTGGGAACTCATGAAACTAAGAAGCTTTCACAAGGAGAAGTTCACCATCACTTGGATAAAAAGTGGCAGCTACAAAATGGGAAGTATTATTACCACCTCTACATCAAATATAGGACTAATATCCAAACTATATAAAGAACTCAGGAAATTAGATATAAAAAAGAGATAATCCAATGTAAAAATGGCATACAGATCTCAACAGAGTGTTCTCAATAGAGCAAACTCATATGGCTGAGAAACATTTAAAGAAATGTTCAACGGCTTTAGTCATCTAGGAAATGTAAATCATAATGACTTGGAGATTTCACATTATACCTTCAGAATGGCTAGGATCAATAACACAAGTGACAGCTCATGCTGGAGAGGATGTGGAGTAAGGGGAACACTCCTCCATTGAGGGTGGAGTGCAAACTTATACAGCCACTGAGAAATCAGTGTGGAAGGTCCCTAGAAAATTAGGAATTCACCTCTCTTCAGACCCAGCTATAGCACTCTTGGGCATATACCCAAAGGACGCTTAACCCTACCACAGAGGCACTTGCTCAACCATGCTCAATCCTGCTCTATTCATAGAAGCCAGAATTGGAAACAAACTTCATGTTCCTCAACAGAAGGATGAATAAATGTGTTAAAAAAAAAACAGCATCATGAAAATTCAGGCAAAGGGGTGGAACTAGAAAATAATCCTGAGTGAGGTAGCCCAGACCCAAAAAAATTAACATGGCATGTATTCACTTATAGGTGAATATTAGTCATTAAATAAATGATAACCAAGCTACAATCCATAGACCCAGAATGGTTAGATACAGACAAAAGTACTAGGAGGGGAATATAAATCTCCCTGGGAGGGGGAAACAGAATAGAGTTCATGGGTATACTAGGGGCATCATAAGGGACAGGAATGGGAGGTCCAGGAGGGAGGAGAGCTGGGCTTGAGGGATAGAGTGTGGGGAGAGACAGTTAGAATTGAGGGGCATTGGGTGCTGGTGTGGAAACCTAGTATAGTAGAAACTTCCTAAACTACAGAAACGCAATTCGAACGAAGTCTCCAAATAATGAAGGAGACTTGGTCCCTCTTCTCACTAAATGAAGTTTCTAGTACAAGGACTGGGCTGCATTCATTTGAGTTTCTGGTCAAAGGGATCCCACGGAAGACCCCAAACAACCCAAGGCTGTTTGCAAGACAGTAGGTTGATTCTACAAACTGACAGCAAGGCCTTATTGTTGAAGACAATTCCCACACAACTCACTGGACTGGAGACATCTAGCTGGTGTCTATATAGAACCTTCACACCCATGATCTAGCATCTTTGCTATAGGAAGTATTCTACAGGCTACCAAATGAGAAATGTATACACAAACCCAGCCCATAATTTTGATGAACCATGCTATCCTTCCTGTGTGATATAATAGGGCTCAACAGTGGCACAATGCAGTGTATTGTGGGAGTAATTATCCAGTGTATGGTTTGAATATGCAGCATTGCTTAAGTGAGCAGGAACCAGGACTAGAATAAAAAAAAAATGCTACTGCTCAAAAAGAAAAATAAAAGTAACAACAATAAGACCCCTGAAGATATTCTGCTACATAGATCAGAGCCTTTCTTATTAAGCCATCACCAGAGAAGCTTCCTCCTGCAACAGATAAAAACAAATTCAGTGAGATACAGCCAGACATTTCACAGAGAGATAAACCTTGAAACACAGAGCTCTAAATTGAATGTCATTGTTATTAGAGATTTAGAACCCAGAGGAAGTGGAGGCTGAAAGAGGGTAAGAGTTTGAGGTGATGCAGGACACCAAGAGAATGAGGCTCTGAACCAACTGAGCAAAGCTCATATGAACTCAGACTGAGGCAGCAGGCACAGGGCCTGCTCGGGTCTGCACCAGGTCCTCTGTGCACATCTTAAAGCTTTCAGTTTAGTGTTTCCATGGATTCCTGAGTGTGCGAATGAGTGGGTCTCTGCTTCTAGTGCCTTCTCTTGGGCTCTACTTTTTCTGTTGACATTGAAGTGATGGTTTTTGTTTTATCTTCTATTTAATTTCATCATGTTTGGTTGTTATTGCTTAGAAGCCTGTTCTTTTCTAATGAGAGACCGAAAGGGGATGGATCCTGACAGGAGGGAAGGTGGAGAGGGACTGGGAGGAGAAGAGGGAAGGGGAAACTGTAATCAGCATATATTGTATGAGGAAAGAATCTATTTTTAATAAATGGGGAAATTTAATAAACAAATGTCTAATAGAAAAAGACAGAACTGATGGATTTGATGCAACTGGAAAACAATGGATGAATAATTTGGTCATTGCACTTTCTAAAGTGGAGGAAATGTCTTCTGCTCCCTTGAGGACTTTACGTGGGCATTGCTGCATTTACTTTGGAGACATCCAGAACGTCCTGACCTGGGAATATCTGTGTTCCCTTCCTCTCTATTAATTAATCTGCTCTTTACTGCTGGGAGCGCTGGGAAGAACCTGGTTGTACACTTATCCCATTGTGTTCTCTGTGAACATCCATTGTTCTCCTCTGTCAGCCATTTAATCACTTGTTTAAAAAGGTTCTCCCCTCATAATAAAATTAAAAAAAAAAGAATGAATATGCTCATGTTTAGAGGTTTTACAATACCTCTCCAAAATCCTCCTGAGCACGATGCACCTTTAGTTCAAGAGACCCCTCCTGGGACAGTAGCCAGGTGGAATGGGTTCCCAGCTGAAACCGACTGGACCTAGTCCTGAATGTATCCTGGAGGATGAGCCTGCCCTCTAGTGTCTGGGAAATGAAGCACAGGTCAGTCTCACCTATAGAGAAGGGTATAAAAGCTTCAATTTTCTTCAGAGCCCCACTAGCATCCAGGAAGTGGTCAGGATTGAAGGCATCTGGTTGTTCAAAGTACCGTGGGTCATGGAGAGCTGTACTCAGGATGGGGTACACTTCAGTGTTCTAGGAGACATTGTGAGAGGCAATGATATTAGCATACCCTGGCTCCCATAGCAGACTGTTAGTCCTTAGAGAGCCACAGAATGCTGGGAAACCACAAACAGGCCAATGGTGGTGATTGGGAGAGTGGAGGATGACCATGGCATAGAGATGTGGAATTGCAGCTGGTCTCACCTTGGGGAGCAGGTACCCTCGGAACAAAATGTCTTTGGTGACTTTGCGCGGCACTCCAATCGGGAGAATATCTGCTAATCTCTGGATCTCGCGAATGACAGCCTCAGTGTAAGGCATTTTGGTGCGGTCATCAAGGGTTGGTGGGCGGTGTGAGCCGATCACCTGATCGATCTCCTTTTGGACTTTCTCTGCACAGAAAGGGAGACAGCAGACAATGCTTGCCCCCTTCACAAAGGCAATGCACTGTGACCCTGTTTATTGTAAGCAATAGCTTAGGGCAGTGCAGAGCCAGGAGACTGCTGAGAAAGACACACTGCACTCTGGGACATGCACACCTACACTTCTCCCGGGCATCTGTCTCTCCAGCCACACTCGGAGCTGTGTTAGAGGCTCTCTCCCAAGCTCCAACCTTGCTCACAAAAGAGAGGAAAGGAAAAGCCATAGCAAAGGGCTATTTATATCTATCAGTCTAAGGGCTGGAGGGGAAGATGGTAAGAATTTTCTGCATTTGAAATGTAATGTTATATATTGTGTTCTTGTATAACAGAGAGAGAGACAGACAGACAGACAAACACACACACAACACACACACACACACACACAGAGAGAGAGAGAGAGAGAGAGAGAGAGAGAGAGAGAGAGAGAGAGACTTCCTGAATTTATATTTCAACATCCAGGGGGATGGAGAGATATCTCAGTGCTTAGGAGCACTGGTTGCTCTTCTAGAGAACCCAGGTTCACTTTCCATCACCCTCATGACAGCTCACACCATCTATGACTCTGGGTCCAGTGGAACAACACGCTCACAAAGACATATATGCAGAGAAAACAGCAATGAACATTAGTTAAAAAAATTAAAAATACAGGCAAACAATATAAGGCTATAGACTCAGGAATAAAAGGAAAGTAAATTAACCTGTGTGTAACTGAACATGGACTATGAACACATTGGTAATATGATGGCCAATGAAAGGGCTCAGTCAGCAAATGCATTGATTTCCATCCTGACAGCCTGGCTTTAATATCAGAACCCGTGTGAATGTGCAGGGGAGACCCACTGCACAAAATGGAACATATACAAATAAATCAATGAAAGCAACTAACCAAATATCAAGCAAATATGTGGATGAATAAACGAGCAAATATAGAAATAAACAGGTAGTTGTGTTGAATGATGAACAAATCACAAATAAAGGAGTGAATTATTAAATAGATACATGGAGGAATAGATGGACACATGAGGGGTGAATTCAAAAGCCACTGGGAAGGAATAAGGAATGAAAAGATTTGTATATGAGTGAACCAACGAATCAATGACAAAGAGCCTGCTCAACTAGCTGTGATAAAGAATAAAACTCACAAACTGATTCATCCAAATAAATGAATTAAATATATGTCATTAAGTTAACTAGAGATGAAAGAATCAAGGATAAATAATCTATGGGTATATAGAAGATGAACAGAGGATTACATGTGTGGGTGAACAGGTGTATAGATAAAAATGAATGGAAAAATGAATATATGTAAGTTTAGATAATGGTTGGAACAAGAACAGAATGGGTAAATAGATGAAGAGGTGGATGAACAAAAAGATGGGTGAATATCCGACAGATGCAAAGACAGAAAGAGAGAAGGAAGGAAGGAAGGAAGGAAGGAAGGAAAGAAATAAGAAAGGAAAGAGGGAAGGAAGGACAGATGATCCAACCTTCAAGTTATAGCAGAAAACAATGGAAATGGACCAGCTGAGGGTTCATTCACACACCACCCACAGCACTGCCTTAGGTTAGAAGTAGACCAAAGCCTTCAGAACTCCAGTTATAAGAGTCTCATGTCTCTCTCATCCACACAAACCTCTGCAGAAAAGGGGGAGTTAGAAGCTTCCCCAGTTGTCTGCCTGTGACTCACCTGCAACATGGGGGTACTTTAGCAGGAGCAGGAAGCCAAAGCAGAGTGTGGTGCTGCTGGTCTCGGTGCCAGCAAAGAAGAGAGAAATCACAGAGATTATGAGGTTCTGGTAATGGAACTCTGAGTGTTTGTTGGACTTCTCCTGGTTCCAGATGGGAGAGAGAAGGGAGGGTCAGGGGTAACAGAAGCCATGCAGGAAGATGCACACACATCCAGGGAACTGTCCTTCTGTCTCACTATCTGGACCACGTAGCATTATCCAGTCCTCAACAATGTCACTTGGTCTCTTCTCTGTCTTCTCTCTCTACTGTGCTCTCTGGTAATTTAGCACGGTTTGTCTCCCAGTCTTTCTCTTCCTCTGTAGTCTTTTCTGCTTTTTGTCCCTTGCCCTGTTTCTTCTCCACCCTTCTTTCTCCCTATCACATTTTCTTCTCCTTTTTATTTGCTTCATTTTGCAGACGCTTCTGCATCTCCTCCACTCCATTTTCTGTCTAGCCTCCCCATCCTCTGCTCCCTTTTCCTCCACTCACATCCTTGGCCTTCACTCTCAGCCATCCCATCTCATTCACACAGGACTTACCTTCTCCATGCGTATAAGGTAGGTATCGATGAAGTCTCTTGGATTGTTTGGGTCCAAGGTTGCCTGGTGCTTCTCCACGCTGTGGCCAATGTAGTCAAGGACTTCATGCAAGTTTTTGTAGATTTGTTTGTGAATTCTAGTAAAGAACTTCAGAAAACCTGAATAGAGCTCATACATCTGCAAGAAAGAAGGGCCCAGCAGGTCACAATGGGTTATCAGGTCTCAGGAATTGGGCAGTGCACCTAGGTCCTCAGACGTCATGAGGAGCACACACACACAGAGACACATACACACCTCTCCTACACGCACACCATGCACATGCCTTTAAATCAGTCTCTAGCCTTCAGTTTACGTTCTCTGTGTCTCCCTTTTCCTCTTCTCTGCGCTCTCTCCCATCTTCCTTGCTGTTTTGTCTTAATTTGTTTTCATTGTGGGGTATTGCATTTTGAACACATTAATGCCACACAGGCTTTAAATTCAACATGTAGCCTAGGATCAGCCCAAATTTCTGATAGCCCAGTCTCTAACACCAAAATGCTGGAATTTCATGTATTGTTCACCACCAAGTCCTGGGGATGAACTCAAGGGCTCATGCATGAAGTACTGTATCCTCTGTCCTCTAAGGTAGAGCTGCATCCCCCTTGTCATCATTTTCTCATGTCTGGATGGCTCTGTATTTCTGCATTCAGGTCTCTCCACCTTGCTCAACATGCCTCTCTCCTTCTGTTCCTCCTTCCTTCCATCCCTCCAGGTCACAGGCTTCTTGCTGTTCCATGTTTTCTCTGTCTTCCTTCCAGCCAAAAGACACTCCCTTCTTCACTCACAAAGCAGGCTTTGTTTCCTCTGCCTTCAAAGCTCCTCCCTTCCCACCTACTGACCTGACCATGGAATGAGCTGATGATTGAGAAGGTCTGACAGAGCAGGTCCAAGAGGCGCAGGAACTGACGATCTTTGTAATCAAAGCGCTCTCCAAAGACAATGGAGCAGATGATGTTGGCTGTGATGCACTGAAAGAGGAAGGTGGGGTCCAGGGGGGCTCCTGAAGGAGGATACAGTACAAGAGACAGGGAATACAAAATTAGGGGAGTATTTGGCTTCAGCCCCATCTCTGTAAAGTCGTCCCCACCACTCACTGCACAAGAACAACAACACATTTGCACATATGGTGCGCATAAGAGTCTGGGCTCTTCACTCAGAGATGCATGCATACCTTTATTTAACTCCCTCAGTACTGTACAGAATATGGGATGCCATTTCTATATACAGATAGGGATGCACCTTCACCATGAACTCAGCTAATCATGGCTGGAACATGGCTGCAATTAGGATTTTAGGAACAAGACATAGAGTGAGTGCAGTCAGTCTGCACATGCTCCTCCTCCCAGGATGATATCCTCACTCTGAACTGCTAGCTAACTGCCACTGGCAGGAATGGTGCACAGAAATGTTCAGGGATGGCTGTGTCAATTACAAGCCCTGTATACTCAATGCCTATCTGCCTGTCTTCCTCCATCCCTTCCCTGATGTCCTCCATCACTTCCCTGGCTTCCTGCGTCCCTTCCCTGACTTCCCCCATCACTTCTCTGACTTTTTCCTTCCCTTATCTGACTTCTTTCATCTCTTCTCTGACTTCCTCCATCCATTCTGCCACTTCCTCCGTCACTTCTCCAACTTCCTCCACCTCTCTTTTCTCTGACTTCTGAGATCTGTGGTGTTCTAGAAGCCATCAGCCACTGCTGCATGTAGCCTTTGTGTGCCATGTTCAGTCATGCACGCTGGCAGTTGGAGGGCTGTTGTCAGTACAGCAGTCTTTGGCCACTGTTGCCCTTCACCCTTGGGCTGTCTTGTCTGTGGTCTCTGATCCTATGAGGATACTTTCCTGGAGCTCAGAGCTTCACTCTCAGTCCCCCTTTAGCTTCGTTCTCAGCGTGTTTCTCTTCCTCTGGGTCCCTCCATCACTGACTTCTTTCTCCCATCATTTTTCTCACCCTCTGCACCTTTCTTCCCTCCCCCCCTCTGCACTGACCTACCAGATCTCCGGGAAAAGGTCATTAAGAAATGACAAATATCCCATGTAAAAAAATGGAGGTGCAAGCAACAGTCTTGTTACCAATGTGCCCTTGATACAACAAACTTAAAATAACCTCAGAGTACCTCTGATTTTTACCAAAATCAAACTCTCATGAGCCTCTGTGCTCACTGCTGCTCACCAGCACACTCACAAGGAAGAAAACACAGTTCCCTGCTTAGGCCGTGTCTTCAGGTCTTCCTGCTCCATTCCCCTCATCAACTAAAGCTCTGTGATTGACTTTGAGAAGACCGTGGAGGGGAGCAGGAATAGGTGACAATTACAACGATTAAGTCAAAATGGTCTTGAACATTTTGTGCAGTAGAAGAAGAACTTGGATGAACAATTTGTGCAGTAGAAGAAGACCTTGGAAATCTCATCCTCCTGTCTCCACCTCTAGAGTGCTGGGATTACACACATGCAGGACCATGCCCACTGTATATGGTGCTGTAAGCTCTGCACAACTCAGCCACAGCCACATCAAAGGCAGGACCTCACACTGTAGACAGGGATGGCCTTGAGCTCATGGTCATCTTGCCTCACCTTCTGAGTTCTGAAAGGGTGAGTGTCCACCAAAACTATCCAATTGACAAAGAGAATTAATTTACAGATTGATTTTTTAGAGAGAAGTGACCACCATGGGCAGTACGTGCTTCTGAGTTATTTTGGAAACAAAATACCTCACATTTCTTTCCTGCTCTTGTGAATCTCTTCCCACCTCTCTCTTAATCTCCTCATCTCCAAACTCAGTGTGTCTTTTGTGTCTCTCTCCCTCTGTGTGTGTACCTCTTTTTGTGTGTGTATATGTGTGTGTCTGTCTGTCTGTCTATCTGTTTGTGTGCCATTTTGTTTCTATATCCTTGTATGTCTCTTCCTATTTTTTGGCTCTACACTCAGGTCCCTGTGTCACCATCTTCCTTTTTGCCCATTCTCTGGGACTCACCCTGGGATTTCCGCAGCTCCTCCACCAGACATCGGGCCTCATGCTGAATCCGCTCCTCCACACTCCTCTTGCCCATTCCTAAATCCTTCATGGTGGCCAGAGAGAAGCGGCGAAGTGTCTTCCAGCGTTCACCACTGGCAAAGACTATACCTAAGAATGTGGTGAAGCATGGGTGATTACAATGGAAGTTGGAAAACCCTGTGTCCTTCCCCACAGCTGGGCTCCACCTCTAACACACATCTTCCCTGACCACATCCGCCACTTCACCCTGTCCCGTATCTCACCATATGTCTGTACAATTGGCTCAAACAAAGCAATTATCGCCCGGCCAGAGAAAGCCTCAGCTTGGTCCAGCAGAGCCTCCCTTATGGCCTCTGTCCCACACAGCACGACCACGGGCCTCGGTCCCAGGTGCACTGTGAACATGTCTCCATATTTTTCTCGAAGCTGCCAAGCATAAGGGTACAAGGGTTGTGGTTAGTCGGTGCAGACGTTGTTGTTACACTGTGAAAACACCTAGTCACAGACTGGTAAGTAGGTACCCCTTCTCTGGCCACCCTTTCTCTCCTGAGGACCTAAGAGGTGAAGGTTAATTCTCCAGACAGACAGGGTCTGCACTGATTGGTTGGATTTTCTAATCAGGACACCAGCACTGTAGAGTAGGGAGACACGGCAACACTTGTTTATAATTCTGGAACAAGAGAAGTAGAGACCAGAGAATCAGTAGTCATCCTTGTCTGCACATCCAGTTTGAAGCCAGTCTCGCCTGCACATGACCCTACCTCAAAAATAATAGATACAGATATGGATGCAGATGTGCATTAGTTCCGTGCTCATACCCTTCAGTCTGGCCATGTGAACCATGCTTCCTGTGGTCCAGCTTCAGCCTGTCCAATGCCTTCTGACAACGTTCATAGAGAACAGCCCTGACCCACCCACTTGTTTATATGGGAAGGAAAGTGATAGTCACCTGGTAGTGGTTTTGAATGTGAGTCTGACTGCAGTATGAACAGTTAGGGAAATACCTGGCCCTGCTACCATCAGGTCATCTACAGGGAATTGGTCCCAGGAACATGACAACCCTGCAGTGCTGAGAGCCCTTGAGGAGCATGGTGCAGGGTTTGCAAACAGCCCTCCCTTGTCCTCTTGTAACTTTTACTCTCTCTAGATTGCACTGCAGCTAATAGAAATGAAAGGCTATGAAAATGGTCAGTGACCAGGGTTGTTTAGGGGACAATGCTAAGAAAAAGCTCTGCATAAGTTTGATGTTGATGTATTTATGTTTTTGGATGGGGCCACAACATGGAATCTTATGCAGCAATTAACTAAAAAGCCTCAGATCATAACAACGGTGTAAGTTAAAGTTGTTAAGTTAATGCAACACAAAAACAAGTGTAAACTCTACTGTCTAATAGATATAATAATGTTAACTTATACACAGTGTTGAGGAAGAAAAGTAAATATAAGGAAATATGACAGAGCAGGGCCTATGTGTGGCAGCATTCCTGCTGGACTACACCTGGTCCAGCTCCAGAGTGCTAGCACCTAGCTTTATCCATCTTTTATTAGCAATTAATTTTTTTGGTTTCTCTTGTTGCCCTCTGTCTGAGAATTTCCCGTGGGTACAAAGCCTATGAAAAACATGGTTAGAAGGGAACCCTGAAAACTGTGGTTCGTCCTGAATCAGGTAATTTCTTTTGCATCATCTCTTTAGAGGCCCAGTCAGGATGTTTTGAGGATATGGACATGTACTTGCTAGGTGAAAATTGGAGAACAATAAAGGAGCCCTGGGCAAAGGGAAAACAGTCATTCCTGAAGGCTGAGTCCTGAAGGGTTAGTCCTGAATGTTGAGTATTGATGGATCAGTCTTGTAGGTTCTCTAGAGAGACTGACCCGCCCTGTAGCCAAGAAAGGCTAAATTCATTCTTAAGGTGTCTCTGAGTCTTCATTTCACAGACCCATGGGAACCCACACCCCTGAGCTGTGACATCCACAACACCTATGAGTTTCACTTATGTAGCTGTATAGATCATAGCTCAAGCTAATGATTAAGAGAAACAATTGTGTCCCAGGGTCCAGGCTGGCTCAATTCCTTTTATGTTGATGCTAAAATACACATTCTCAAGTTTTTGTGTGCATCATTAGCTAAAACAAACATTTAAGACAATTTCAGGTTAAATCATATGTTTTGATAACAGCCTTATGATGAAAAGCCCCAGAAAACAATATTATGTTCACAAGGGCACAGATCTGAGTTGCAGATTCACTAGGTTAGGGTAAAAAACACAAGGCAACTGTTGCTGGCTGACATACTTTCCTGGCTAGGGTTGGTTGGTGATCAAAGGTGATGGTTAACTCCTTATATTCATTCCTGCCCTCGAGGTCCTGAGAAACTATTGATGGGTGGATATGCACCCTAAAGATTTAAAGTACAACTGACTAGTTTTCACGCATAAAAGTTTAGGTTTGTGATTCCTTTAAGATTCCTTATAAAATCGTCCATCAAGATAAATAGTAGAACGATTGCTGCTTTCTTTGTAATCACAATGTGCAGCCTGCAAACGAAAGATTTGCCTGAGATAAAATACTTCCTGTTTGCTCCTGTTCTGTTAATCTAACAAGTTACTTAGATGTAAATGTAAGTGGGATACCAGAACGACTTTGTTTTTAATCATGAAAAGGCAATAAAAACCATGGTTTGATCTAAATCTCTTATAATCATTCAATTGAAATATGGAATGTAACCACATTGTGATTCCTATACTGCCTGAAAAGTTTTCTGAGTTATGTTAGCCAGAGAAAAATGTATACAGTATAAAGAAGACAAGAAGAATAGAGAATAAAGAAGGAAACCATTGAGATAGATAGTGTGAGTGCCTTTCTCCCTAGCACCTTTGGATAGATAAATCTTAGGTCATGCCAATGCCATGAATTCATTTGGAGTCCTGTGCTTTGTGACACTGGTCCCCCAGGTAGCAATAATAGAGTTTGTTTATTAAAAAAAATTAAGTGTTATGTGACAGAAAGGTGGTGATTTCTAATCTTATTAGTAGCTTTGATGGTTCACCTCATTTTTGTGTCTCTACTACTGGCCAAAAAAATTGTCATCATTAAGACTCAGTCTTTGTAACAAACACACCATGATTAAAGCCCACAAAATCATCTTACATCAACATAGATGCCTAGTAAAAAATCTCAGCTTAAAAAAAAAAATCTCGGCTTTTTGAGAGACCAGAAAAATTTTTAAGAAACATTCCAGAGGGCTTGTCAGCTGCACATGGGTTTGGACTTCTGGAGCTGACACAGCCTTTAGCAGCTGTATTTGAGTCAGGCTCCAGGCTCATCTACGACACACTTGAGAGAGCCAAGCTGGTTGTGTCTGGGGTTCACCACAGGATATCACCACCACTTCATATCCAAAGGCATCTGTCTGGACCAGCTGCTCTTTCCTCTTGCCTATTCCATGTGCAATGCCTTCATTGATGCTCTGCTGTTGATTTAGCCCCCAATATGGATGTGTTGAGAAGTGTCAGAGCCTTTGGGAGCTGGAACCTAGTGAGAGGCACTGGGTCTTTGCAGATAATCCATACATTATGTTAATGCTGGTCTCACAGAGAGGACTGGGTTTTCAGAGAATGGATTATTATTAAACAAAGGCACTCCACATGATTAGCCTCTTGTGAATGTGACAGGTTTTCCTGCATTGTGACACATAAGACGTTTTCTCGCTAGAAATTGGAAGAATGGACTGCTTGATCTTAGACTGCCACACTGCACAAGTTTGAGTAGGATAAACCTTTAGTTTATAAAGAACTCATCCTCTGTAATTTTTTGGTAGCAACAGAAAAGAGATAAAGACATGAGAGATTTTTCTCTTGCCTGCTTAGTTGAATCACTTCAGTTCTTACCATCTTTGGCTCACACCAAGCTAGTTCTTTTAAAGAACTACAGATTCAATGCCTGCCTCTCCCCTGTCACACTGTGACCTCATCCACCTGGCTCTACTTTTTCCCTAGGACCAGTTGCTGCTCAGGAATGGCTTCTTTTCTGAACCTGTCATCATTCTAGAATGTCTCTGTGATTTGTTCGAGTCCTCCCTCTTATGTAAGTCTGTTTGAACTCTCAACCAATCTTAAAATTCTTATTGATGTGAGATTCCCCACTGTATGCTGTGAATACCATTGGTTAATAAAGAAACTGTCTTAAGCCCGTGATAAGATAGAACAGATCTAGTGGGGAAAACTAAAACTGAATGATGGGAAGAAGAAGACAGAGTTAGGGAGAAGCCATGAAGCCTCCAGAGACAGATGCTGGGAACTTTAGCCCGTAAGCCACAGCCTCGTGGTGATACCCAGATTACTAGAAATGGGTTAAACTAACATGGAAGAGTTAGCCAACAAGAAGTTATACCTAATGGGCCAAGCAGTGATTTAATTAATACAGTTTCTGTGTGATTATTTTGTGTCTGAGCACCCAGGAACCAACAAGCAGCTTCCTCCTACATCTTATTGTTTTCCTTGTATCCAATATCACCCAGATGAGCAGAAAACCTGTGTAGTTGAATTTTATGAGTTTATTCTACAAGCTACAAACAGACTCTTATCTCCTGACAGTTAAGGAAGTCAGCTCAGCTCCCAGATTGCCACATACATTGGATTGTGGATTTGAACAGTTCTTTAAGGAGTTCTGTAAAGGTTAGGAATTCCCTTCCCAGAGCACATTGCCAACCCCTAGGAACCTTGTTTGCAGGACATGATGACTGTCCCTGCAGGGAAAAGGTGTAGCATGTCGTGCTATCATGACAGGATGTCACCAGCCCTCCCTGTGAGTCTCTGGGCAGTTAAGTATGCTGGGGGAAATGCTAAAAGTAGAAAAGCTTCAGTGATGTAGCTGTTCATAAGTTGCTCACCTTCCAGTCAATTGCCCCACATGCACACTCACTCATGCAACCATAGTTACCTCCAAATAGGAAGGGCCTTCAGAAACAGAGAAGTGGAGTGAAAAATCAGAAATGAATGAATTGTATTTTTCAAAGAATGAAAATTAATCCCAGCACTCAGAAAGCAGAGGTCTGTGGATCTTGATGAGTTTGAGTCTCTCTACAGAGTGAGTTCCAGGACAGCCAGGACTGTTTCACAGAGGAACCCTGTCTCAAAAAAAAAAAAAAACCAGAAAGAAAGAAAAAGAAAATAACAACAACAAAGCAAAGCAAATAATAAAGAATAAACAAAATAAGCAAACAAACATAAAGAATAAAATATAAATATGATGTTAACTTGACCTTTCCAACATATGGGAAGCCCGTTTTTAAAACACTTGCGCCTAGGTGTACCACACATTGTTAAATCCAGCATGTGAGATGTTAACTCAGAAACATCATTAGCCTGAGAAATGAAGATAATCTTGTCTTAAAACAATAAAAAATGATAAACAAATGAATTGGAACAAGTGGGTGATATATTAAAAACCAAGGGGGTAGCAAGAGTTGGGATTGCTGTCACTAAATTAGAACTCTAAATGGGAAGTGGAGCCAAAGATGCTTAGTGATTATTAATAAACAAGTGGTAATTGGACATGAAATCTCGCATGAGAAGATTAGTAAAGATTGTGCCATGAATGGTTCCTTGAATGGTCCTTGTGTTTATAACTGATAAGCACTCCCTTCCTACCCCACCTCCTGACCTGCCTCTCATTCCCTGCGTTCCTGAATACAGCAGGCTAATCCCTTGTGTTGGCAGAAGCAAACCTGATATATGGATGCCTGTGACATTTTTCTTTCTCCTTTGTAACAAAGGAACATCAGATAGGAAAACTGTCAGCTCTTGGTGCATGCCATGATACCCCAATACCCTTCACACTCCAAGCACAGAGTCTCACACTGTCCAACAACGAGGACACACCTGTCAACCTGAGCACCATCCACCACCAATCAGCAACTCACCTTTCACTCAGCAATCTTCCCACCAGAACCTACTACCTGGAAAGAGTTCCTTCTTCACCCCAAATGAGTGATCTTCAGGAGCAAACATGGGACTAATCCCATATGGCATAGGCTGTGGTCAGGTCTTACCTGAATAAAGGAGTAGAGGAAGCCTCTTCTGTCCATCTGAAAGAGGTTTCCCAAGAGGGGGAGGGGACGGGGTCCTGGTGGAAGGTGGCCACGGGCCTTTGGGTGGCCCCTGACCATGAGTAGTATGAAGCCCACAAGGAGAGCAAGAAGGAGCAGGACACTGGGCTCCATGATCCTGGTCTGAGCACCGTCCACTTCACTGCATACTCCAGCAGGACTTTTATGCTGAACCTGGATCTCCACCCAGTTGAGCAACTTCATCTGTTCCCACCTCCTGTCTCCTCACTGTCCAGGAGTGTGAGTACCATACTTCCTGATTGGGCTGTCAGTGACCTGCTCACTCCCAATCTTCTTACCTTCACCCTAGATGTTGGCAAGAACACCATGAAAGAGATACACAGGACATAAGGGCATAGGGAGTAATGAGTCTCAGTTTCTGAGGGTGAGTATACTTATTCCAGCTCAGTTCTGTCTGTTTATTTTCTCGGACATGGAACCTGTGCATGTTTACTGTGTGCTTTATATAGAAAAAGTCATTTCTAATATGAATGTGAAGTTCTATGTTTATGTGGCCCAAGACAGTCCTTTATTAACCAGTTGTACTCACAGCATACAGAGGGGAGTCCCATATCAAAATACATTTGGATGTTGATCTCTTTGTTTGTTTGTCTTAGACAAGGTCTCCCTCTGTATCCCAGGCTGATGTTCTAATCTACTGTGTGGCCTAAGAAAGAGGTTCTTAACCCATATGTACTTCTATTAGTAGGTCAAGGCAATATATCTCCCCCAAAATGTGAAGATTATAATAGCTACTGTATGAAATGCAGTTCATGGCTCCCACTGGGAATCCTGCATTAAAATAATGATGCAAGTTCAGTACCAGATCACCCGCTTGGCAGGACAAATGTCCTGGGGTCATTCAAGTCTATTCTGACACCTTGACAAAGTCAGAGAGAAACAGATGCAATGCATGAAATCACCATGGTTTCCTGACCTTTCTCCTTCCTGAATCACTGAAGTATATAACTCTGCTGCCAACATCAGACAGGCATTGGCTGAACTTCACAAGAAGGATGCAACTTCCCCTCCCTTACCCCATCTCTATCTCCAGTAAAGAGAAGTGAAGTCTTATTAAGAAAGGGAGGCCTAAGGTGGGGTATGGCCACCCTTGCTTCTCATCTTCATTAGGAAAGCTGAGATTCTGCATCAACCATTGCCTAAGAAACTTAGCAAGACCCTATGTCCAAATAAATCCTTAAAAGATTGTGTGGTTCCCCATAGTGGTAGAGCAGTTTCCTGGTGCCTTAGTTACTTTTCTATTGCTATGAAAAGGCACCATCCTAAGCCACAAGCATGAGGCAGAGAGAAGAAGAGCTAACTGGGAATGAGTGGATTTTTGAGATCTCTGAAGAAGGAGCGGCAGGCTGCGTTCCTGCCCAGCTCCCACACAGCTAGCTTTGCACCCAAAATAATTACATGGAAACTGCATTCTTTTAAACACTGCCTGGCCCATTAGTTTCAGCCTATTTCTGGCTAATTCTCACATCTTGATTAACCCATTTCTAATAATCTGTGTAGCACCATGAGGTGGTGGGTTACTGGAAAGGATCTTAACCTGCATCCATCTTAGAGAGGAGAGCTATGGCGACCACTTCACTTCCATTCTTCTCAGCATTCTGTTCTGTCTACTCCACCCACCTATGTTCTAACCTAGCAGGCCAAGTAGTTTTCTTTATTAATTAACCAATGAAAGCAACAGATAGACAGATGACCCTCCTCCATCATTTCCCCTTTTTCTGTTTAAACAAAAAAGAAGGTTTTCATTTTAACATAGTAAAATTACATATAACAAAGCAGTTATCAAGCCACAATTACAGTTACAATATTTATATCTATTTTATCTTTTATCATAACCAAGGAAAACTATAACTATAACTAACCATTCTTCAACTCCATCTAAGACTCCAGAAGGATATAACATGTAAGCAACTTCCAAAACTCTAGAAATGACAGAGACATCTTGCTGCCTGGACAGTCACCCAAAGTTCTTTTGTACCATTGGGGCATCTATCTTCAGCCTTCAAGCCCATAGTATGCAGTAGACTTTCCATGAAGCAAGAATTTCAAAGACAGTTCAGTCACTATCTGCTGTGTCCTGCAGAATGTCCCACAGACTCTTTCATGCATCAGGAACCCCGAAAGATCATCTCACCTTTAGTCAAGTTCAGCAATCCTCTCTCTGCAGGTTCTTCGTGTCCAGTTTATCCAACAGTCCAGACAAGAGCAGTTTCTTGCCCAAATGGCTATCAAACTCCATAAGGAGCCTCTTCAATGCCCATCTTCCTCTTGAAGTAGCTGGTGCTGCCAGAAGCAGATATATCTCATTGTCATGAAAAGCCTACAAGCCCATAGTATCCATCAGACTTTTTCATGAAATGGGAAGTTTTAAAGACATTTCAGACATGTTCTATGTCCTGCAGAATGTCTTACAGACTCTTTTATGAATCATGAACCCCAAAGGATCATATAACCTTTTGTCAAGTTTAGTAGTCCTCTCTCTGCAGGTTCTTTGTGTCCAGTTAAGCAGTCCAGGCAAGAGCAGTTTCTTGCCCAAATGGCTAACCAACTCCATAAGGAGCCTCTTTGATGCCCATCTTCCTCTTAAAGTAGCTGGTGCTGCCAGGAGCAGACATGTCTCATTGTCATAAAAAGCCCTAAGTTATTAAAACATTTTAAATGCCATATTATGTACTTTTTGAACGATATGAATAATACCTATCTGAAATATATCTATGCATATCTAGAAAATCTAACATGACTACAAACTTGACTATTATAGATGATTATTCATCAACAACCTATTATACATTACATATTTAAATGAATGACACAATCACAATACCTTAATCAAGAGCAGAAATACATATAGATATAGCAAGATTGACCTTAAATTAGTATCAGTAAACCAAGATTCATATCAATGCAAATTATTTATATCTATATCATATCCCCCTATAAATGTAAAAGAACATTTATAAACAATATTTGGGAATATGGGAGCAGTTTTTTCTCTCCACACTGCTTCGTACTGTGTGGGGATACTGTTAATCAGGTCTTTCATGGTGTATCCTGTATGCTAGGTTCATCTCAGTCAGCAGTTGAGCAAAGAAAGTTTTTGAGGGTGTGTATAGCAACCTTTCAGGAGGGCGTGGTCTATCATACCATATTGGCCTGGTAGCAATCCACAGGTTCTCGTCTTCTGTGGAAACAAAAGAAGAACCTCTTTTCCAAAGCATCATATCCTTAGACCCAAATTCTGAAGTCTTAATACCTTTATAATATTCGTGCTGGTTTAGCTTAGCCCATACAATGAAACGTCTCTTTGTACTTAGCTCCTTTACAGTCAAAAAATTTAAAGAAAACACAATAAAATACATAATCTAGACTCTGTGAATTCCATTTTTATGTGGCTTATTTTTCTTCATTTTTTAAATCTATAACTATCTGTACTCTGTCTCTTTAAAGACTTTACCACCCCCCCTTTTTTAAAGCATTAACTTTATTATGACTCTGTATACTCTTTATTTATCTTTCCCAAGCCTACATGCTTTATCTAACACCATGACCCATTTAGAGGTCTTTTATGTCTGAATCTGTCCTATTGTGGATCTGTAATTCTTTACTGTCCAGGAACACTTTAGTTTTGGGGCTTTAAAATGCTAAGGTCTTAAGAATCTAAGCTGTGACAATCAAATACAGGTGCTTCCTGCTTGCCCCACCCATTCCAAAATGGCATAGCCACTTGTGCCTTTGAGCCATGTGCATTGCACCGCTAGCATGACGAAGCTGCTTGTGCCTCTGGGCCGCAGTGCACTATGTCCCCCTTTTAGGCACACAGTGAGTCCAGTTGCCATCAAACAAACCATAGCACTTTAGTCACAAACCCCATTGAAATGCTCTGTCTCCCGCAAAAGACAGAGGCCATGATGGTGGCACAACCCCGAAACTAGTATTTCAAAACCGCCACTTTCTAGTAGACCTGATCCCACTGCCTACCCAAGGAGGGAGTGCCAAGCCACAGGCATGGTCTCAGGTACTTTGTTCCTGACCCCAAGTGGGAACTCAAACATCCATGCCCACAAATGCTCCATAGCCAGAGTTTGTACCAGCAGCAGAGCCCAGGAAGCCTAGTTTTAATATGGCGTGGCTTTTTTTAATTTTATTGCTGCTGAGTCAGGAAATTCTCTCTGTGGCACACCACCAGCAAACAGGAAAAAGCTGTGTTAAACTCTCTCTCTCCTTTTTAAGCCCTCTCAGGTTTTTAAGTGGAATTAGTCCATTACATTGGGCGTCACTCTGTTGTAGGATGAGCAGCAGGGTATGTGCCACTGCCCGGCTAGCTTAACCCTGGAAATAACCACACAGGAATTGTATTAATTAAAACACTGCCTGGCCTATTAGCTCTAGCCTCTTATTGGCTAACTCTCACATCTTGATCTAACTTATTTCTAATAATCTGTGTAGCACGACGAGGTCATGGCTTACCGGGAAATATTCAAACCTACGTCTGTCTCAGGACAGAGCTTCACGGCGTCTGGAACACTGTCCTTCTTCCCAGCATTCAGTTTGGTATACTTCACCTACCTAAGCTGCTGCCCTATCAAAAGGCTAAGGCAGTTTCTTTATTCAACCACTGAAAGCAATACAAATATAGAAGGACCTCCTACACCAAACATAAACATCTTTGAAAAGTTTTTACATCCCAATAAACCCCTCCACTCATGCAATAATCTGAATCAGACCAAATCAAACCAAATTAGAAAAAGGCCAGGTTTAATAGATGCCAGCATTTCTGGGTGGTCCCCCAGGCCCTCAGAGAGGAGATGAGGAAGAAAGACTAGAAAGCCGCATTTGTTCTCTCAGGGGAAGGAGCAGTTTAAATACCCTGTGTGAATGTTCTTCCCTTTGCCTCTTCAGTGGTCCTGTAGACTTTCTGTTCCCCCCTCAGGCCACCTGAGAGAACAGCTGTCCAATTAAACCTGGATATCTTTTAATTTGGTCTGAAGCAGTCTGATTGGGATTATATGTGTTAGCAGAGAGGCTCGTTTTTAGGAGTATTCCTAACATTTTGGTGGTCCCACTGGGTGTGGGGGGAGGTTTTTCCAATGGGC